CTTTTTTTTTTTCCAAATAACTTCAAAAGGAGTTCAGTTATTATTATACAATCCGGGAAAGGGGCCCGGTGTCCCTTCCAAAACGTGGGCAGACCACCCAGTCGAACACGGCATCATCGGCCAGGCCCAAAAGGGTGTCCACACTAACAGTTGTTTCATCCAACCCACCTACTCATGTTGATTCTATCTAGTATCTGTACTACCATTATAAGCCTGTCATAAAAAAACATTTTTAAAAGCAAGCCCAAAACAAAACAAGGAGAGGCTCAAACGAAATGCGCACAAAGGGCAACCAAGTGCTACAAAGTAGTACAGATAGGGCATACTCACACTAGGGGTCTTTTTAGCAAAATCGCGAAATCTGCTACGGTATTGCAGTCACACAATGCCCCCGCCCCCAGCAAAATGGCAAACCGTGTAGTATACTTCAGCGGCCTGCTGGGCCGGGATGCAGCAATTTGCGAGGACCTCTACAGGTCCTCACAAATTCGCAGTTTCTTTTCTGGATTAAAAACAAAGAAAGAAGAAAACCTCAGCGGGCAAGAAAACGCAATTGCTTGCTTACTGAAGTCCAGAAGAAAAAAAAGGTCACCATCTGTGTGACCACTCAGATAGCAAATGGAGCAATTTTCATCAAGTCTCGGCCATGTCTCATTCAAAAGGGCCACCCTGTGTGAGTCTGTGGCACACCTAATTCTCAAAATAGCGGAAGCAAAATTGCAGATTTTGCAATTTTGCTTACTGTGTGTGAGTATGCCCATACTAGATAGAACCTACATGAGTAGGTGGGTTGGAAGAGACAACTGTTACTGTGGACACCCTTTTGGGCCTGGCCGATGATGCCGTGTTCGATTGGGTGGTCCGCCCACTTTTTGGAAGGGACGCGGGGCCCGTTTCCCGGCTTGTATAATAATAACTGAACTTCTTTTGAAGTTATTTGAAAAAACAAAACAAAAAAAAAAGTACCATCTAAACTTAGCAATCTAAAGATAAAATCGAGAATTTGAAAGAAAGATCTCACAGGAAGAAGCTCGAAAAATTCAACAACTGCTTCTGCCCTTGCCACATCTGGATTTTGAGCAGGTCCGGGAATCTTTCCCAGCCTTGGAGGAACTTTTTGAGGGGTCTCGGTGCATATCCCTTGTTTTGAACTCTGAGCTGCCAATCCGTCGCAATCATCTGTCTAATCGAAAATTTAATCACTGCACGAATCATCGGCGGTGTAATTTCTCACATCTTCGGACTGCAGAGTTCCGTACATTACTTTTCTTTTTCCGAAGTCGCTCGTTGAGAAGTTTCCTGCCTCTCTTTTGTGTGAGTAATCACATGAGAAGAGTTTTATTGTTAAAAAAAAAAAACAAAAAAAAAAAAGCCCTAAGTCAGGAGGTCCACATGCGCTCAGGGTACTCCACCATCCGCTTGATTGTTTTTTTTCACTTTTCTTAGGAAAAAAACTCTCTGCAGGCTTCCTGACTACAGAAAAACCCAGAGTCAGTAGGTCCACGTTCTTTTTGGCTCGAATCTTTTTTTCTGTGTCTTTTTCTTTGGAAAACGACCCCACAGCACGTGCTCTGAGGCTCGAATCTACCAGCGGTGATGGGAATATTAACGTGGGGATGGGTAGGGTAGAGGACAACCATTGGCTGCCACTATTAGCAATCACCGCGGGTCAGGTCCTTGGCCTCTACAACACCCTGGGGTTAAAAAAAAAAAAAAAAAAAAAAAAAAAAAGGACCTGGTTCCGGCCGAGTGCAGTTTAATACTTGGTTGCCGTTTGTTTGCATTTCATTTGAGCGTTTCCTTGTTTTGGTCCTTGTTTTGGGCTTGCTTTTAAAAATGTTTTTTATGATAGGCTTACTAGATAAAATTTACATGAGTAGGTGGGTTGGAAGAGACAACTGTTGCTGTGGACACCCTTTTGGGCCTGGCCAATGATGCCGTGTTCGATTGGGTGGTCCACCCACTTTTTGGAAGGGACGCCAGGCCCCTTTCCCGACTTGTATAATAATAAGTAAACTTCTTTTTTTCTTTTTTTTTTAACTGTCTGACCACTACAACAACCTGGGATTCAAAAAAATAAAGGAAAAAAAAAGGGGTTCCAAGCTGTTGGAGGAGAGTACAACCACGTGGAAACCGGGACCAACGTCCGTCATGCAAATAACAACATGTTCACAAATATTTGAATACTGGAGCCAGTACAAGAAGGAGCCTCTTCCTTCGCTCGGATGGGGGTCCTATACTCGTAAATTATTAAAGAGACAATTTTAATCCGTACAGCATTGAATGCCCGTCTTTTCAAATGCGGAGAACCCTTGAGGCCAGCTGCCCTTAGAGTTAACTAGCTAAGCGCCCGCGGTGTGGGCGCTGCGGGCCATGACCCCAGAAATAAGAAATGTTTTATGGGTGGGCAGGTGTGGTGTGTGGGTGGTGTGTGTGTGTGTGTGTGTGTGGG